AACAGACAGGTTCTTTCAAATTAAATCACTTGTAACAAAACTCTACGAACTGTCGTTTGACCTCTATCCTGCACTTTGTTATTAATTCAAGCACCGAATTTCAGATAGAATTCATGAATGAATCCCAAAAAACCCGCCTATATGCGGAGAACGATGATGTGCAAGTCTTGACGCTTCCATATAAAGACACCACTTATGCGTTGAGTATACTCCTTCCTAAGAAAAGGTAGTAAAGTAAGACTTTCGAAAACAGTGGATCCTTGAGACTTCTGTCTGAAGGTTTGCTCTCGATGCAATCAGAAACAAGACTAGTGGACCGGCACTACGGAAACTGTTGAGCCAAGTGAAAATGGAGCTTACGACGGTGGGTACAAACTTCCGCTGCATCTAACTTTACTAAATTTTCCTGCAGATTTCTATTCCAAAAATGAAAATCGAAACAAAGTTCGAGCTGAAGAAAGCATTGATCTCGATTGGTATCACTGAGATGTTCAGTAACAATGCCAATTTGACCGGAATCACGAAGGAACCTCCACTGAAAGTATCGGATGCTGCGCACAGAGCATTGATTGAGGTTTGTGAATATTACATAGAAGATAATTACAATGTCAGTGATTATAAATGGGAGTGGGATTGAAAAAAAAACAATCTTACGATAGGTTGCATAATCTTTGTCCCTGACCAAACCAAAGAAAATGAGTAGGGACAGGATAGGCCCTAGCTTATTTATACCATTCAAAATTGGTACGGACTGTCATACAGTAAGCAATGCCAAATTATCAAAAGCGTGTTTCGGGCAAGGGTGAAGGTCATGGGATTCTGGTGTCAAGAATACAAGAAGTTCGTAACGGACCTGGGAGACTTATACCCAGGACTCGGCACGAGTCGGTTTCTAGAATCTCTGAAAACGAAGTCCCCCTGACTGTGGGAAATTTTACGAAATCTGCTTTGACCGTTATCGGAAACCTTATAGGAGAAGATGAGAACAAAAGAGAGTCACTGGTCCAAGATCAAAAACGTAAAACAAGAGTGAAAATTCAAGCTGGAGCTGAATTTCACACATGCAGAAAAATATGATTGGAGCGCGATATCTCACAAAGCAATTTATGAAGATAAAGTAAAGAACGAAGGAAAGGCAAAAATATGAAAACGTTTTTGTGCTCAGGGAGAGATTCTTGACCGAAGAGTCCGTTCTTGCTAGAAGAATCCAAAACTTATGTGAACTTTAAAAAATATATGCTCTAGACGATCGCGATCGTCTGGTGGCCGTCTGGAAAGACCATCTAATTTCGGAAAAGGTATTACTTCACTTAAGTTTTCAAACCTCTTTACATAATTCTTCCGCAAATGATTTTCTAGGGGTACAGTTCAATTTTGGTGTCATATGAAACTGTGTGCGCTATAAACAAGGAATTTGTTTATTTTAGCCTTACTTTCAAATCCCGCGCGCTTTTCGCCGGACAAGACGGAGCGTGTCAATCGCGCGTTAACCTGTCCTCAAAGTTTGTGCTCTGCTTAAAGGCAGTGTCTCACCAAAATTTCGTTGTTGGGT